AGCCAAACCAGCAGAGAGCTCCTCATGTCCCACCGAGATGGGGGAAGTGGTAGCCAAACCAGCAGAGAGCTCCTCGTGGCTCAGCAAGATTGGGGAAGTGGTTGAGGGAGTATGTAGCTTCGAATACGACCTTCTCAAGGAGGCCAATAGGCCCCAAAGCGATATCGATCTGTCCGTCCGGCACCTGCGAGATTACATTCTTGCCATCGGCCCGGAGCTCTATTCTCCTGGCGAAGTGCTTGAGAGTTACGGATGCCTCCAGACGGCGATCCATGACTTTGCAGCGGGGTTTTTCCCCACAGTGACTTGGGCGCAGCTGAGTCCAGACGAGCAGAGCAAGGTCAAAGCCTGGGCGCCTAGAGCTGAGCAATTCATGGAAAGCCAGCGTGGGCGGCAAGCTCTCTTCCAAGCATGGGTGTGGCACATTCTTGATGACAACATCTTCTCGGCAAACCCTTCTACCAAATGGCAAGGGTTTAAAGACACGATGATGCCCTGGCATCTGGCTGGTCAGCTCATGGACATCTTTCAGAGTAAGAGCCATTACTTTGATTTGCTTCAGCTGATTAACGCATGGATTTCGCTAACACCTACCCTTTCCTGTAGCAGATTCGGACACCAGACCCTTTCGCAAGCGAGCTGTCAAGTACTACATCTGGAGGGCACTTTCCGCAGACCTTGCTTATGATGTCTGCAGCGGTCCCTCTACGATTCCGCGTGGATATGCGGCCCAGCTAGTCCGCAACGAGCTGGGCCACCTGATTGAGAACACAGGTGTTAACCTGAAAGTAGTACTAAAGGCAGTAAATGACTGGGCTGAGATGTTCGAGTTGGATATCATGAAAGGGCGGTTCAAGACGAGCCTCAAGTGGGACACTGGGCTCCAGCCTTCTGGATTCCCATATAGTACGGGTTTCAATGCAAATGATTTAGGCCAGCCGAGAATGATTTTGGAGGATCTCTTTCTTTGTTGCGACAAATCGAAGCTGAAGCCTGTGTTTGAGGGCCAGCCTGTCGAGCTCGTCATAGCCCCAGCCCTAGGAGTTCATGGTCACGGCAGCCAGCTTTGGAACTGGTACATGGCCGGCCATCCTGGGGTGTTCACATGGTTCCAAGATATGACCGTCGTGGTTGGTCAGCTTCCAGGTCCGGGCGAGGGCGACGACTTTAAGACTAGCTCGACCGTCGTGGAGGTGGGAGGTGTCTGATTCTGTGGATTGAGTTTAACTTGCTTAGGAGTCTCAGTTGTGTCTGTGTGTCGTAGCTTAGGAGTCATTCTCTGTTATCAAGTGTGTCTCTTCAAATTACTTGTTCTCTACTAGCCACTACTTCGCGTCTATCCGCCTCCACGACAGAGATAGATTTTGATGTGGGTAAATTTCATCTTGAACTGCAATGATGTCTATCTCGTGATATTGTAGTGCTCTCTCTGTAATTTTCAACTTCATCATTCTAGCTGGCAAGTGCACAAATTTGGCTCAGTCTTCAGTGACATCTAATCCTTATTGGAAAGGCCGCGCCACAGTGGCAACGCTGGCGCTACGGATCCTTCCCTCATCAGTACTAGTGATTTATTTTCATGCCGGTACCATCAGATTCTGCGGCATTAATATTATCATCAGTCACGAAGCCCGCGACCAGAGGAAACCCCCCAAATATATGATGCAATTGCAGCTCTAATTTGTCGCCACTTGTAGTACAGGGCTATCTTCTAGCTTCCAAAAATAGCCGTCATTGTGCGATTGTGCACAATCAACATAGAACGGCTCGTCTTCAATGCTCTTGAAGACGCAGCTGCAAGATGGCCAATTGCACCAGACACTCAAGTTCATGGAGAGTACTGGCTTCATGTGACTTACTACTTGGCCCTGGTACCGTCTACAGCTTCAGTGAGACTCGCCTTCGACCATTCGTGTGAGAATCCAGAAGTTCTCGGCCAGAATTTTGAGATTGGCGGAGCGACGCTTGCCTCGTCGCATAACCTACTCAAGCTGTGTGTCAGTCTTGCACAAGCCATATGGGCTACTATAATCATATACCGCTCATGAGGAGACCAAATTGAGCAGTACGGTTACGCTGCGTTTGGCTTGACCGGCGTTCCATATGCGCTCATGTCAATCTTGAATACGATAGCCAACATGACAGCTCCGCAGTACCCATGCATGTTCGTGACCAGAACTCCAGTAATGAGACAGGCAGAAGCTGAAAACAAGGCATTCTTCAAAGAGGCGATCTCTGTCGACTTAGATTTGCCACCAGGTGGAGGTGTCTCGAATCGTTGGCTAAGCAGGCTATTAGATGAGGCTCCTGAAACCCATGCGCGAAATGGAGAATCAACCGCTCTGATTTCAGCGATCAGCCTCTGTCTTAGTCTGGTTCCCCTTGCAGTTGTCGAAGGTCTCTCCGGCTTTCATAGGGGGAACAGTTGACAGATGTAGAGAGGCTTCACTATGTCCTGGCTCGTTATTGGCATCGTTGCGGCTTGATCCATGGTCTGGATGATTTATGGGCCCATATAACACGAGGAGCTCGCCCACGGCCTGATGTAAAGCTCTCTTCAATTTGGACACAGGTAGTGTCGATCGCACTTCTGTATTGAAACAGGGCAGCTGTGCCTACTGCTGACCAACACC